TCGGTCACCTTGTCTGTCCAGCCCGGGCTGCTCAGGGGCCCCAAAGGGACAGTGATGCTCTGACTTTTGTCCCAAACTCTCCTGCAACGCCCCTAGTTCGCGCCCGACACTGAGGCTCAGGAGGCTTGGTCCTGGGCACCTAGCAAAGCAATGCCAGAGGGTGGGCTGGAAGGCAGGGCTCTCCTGGCTCCCTGGCACCACTGGGGGCACTGTGCTTTCTGTCTATATGCATGCACACACATGCTCTCACACACACAATACTACTCACACAATGCATACATGCACACACATAATGCATGCACACACCTGCACACCTACACACATCACACGCATTTAATACACACGTGCACACACGATACTCACGCATAAGTGTGCAGCACATGCGTGCACACAATGCACACTCGCAGTACACCACACACTCACGCAGCGTACGCACATGCACGCCCACGCCCCCAGGGCAGGCAGCATCCACAGGACTGAGGGCACCTCCCTAGTCCGGTCCCCAGCCTTAGCTGATGGAGGAGGAGGCGGTGGGCTGCGTGTCAGGGTGCTGGTCCAGGGACCTGCATGGGGCAGGCCGTTGCTCTCCCGGCCCTCCTTCCTGTCCTTCCCTCGGCGCTGGCTGGGCTGGGACCACTTCCGACAGGCCAGGTCACAAGCCTGGCCCAGAACAAAGCAGTGAGGGTGGCTGGACATGCCAAAGGGAGGGGAGGGCTAAGAATAGCAGTGAATGGGCTGGGGGCAGGGCCAGCCCCTCTGGCCCCACAGTAACCCCGCTCCCCCACACACCCCGGGGGCCTTAGTTTCCTCACCTGATCCCTAGACCCCAGGAGAGGTAGGACTCCCAGCAGGTGGGAAGCCCTTCCCAGGCCCCATCCCTGCCCTCCAGAACCAGGCTCAGCTATAGGAAAGGCTCTCGGGGGTGGGCACGGCCTGCAGGAAGGAGAGCCCACTGGCCCATCCCAGGTGTAACAGGACCTTGCTGCCGAGCCCAAAGATTGATGGCCCACAGTAACCGAACAGCTGCCCGCCAGGGCTGCTACAGGAAGAGTTTCTCCACTCCACCCCTGGGCCTCAGTCTCCCTGCCTGTCACATGGAGGATGGGTCCAGCAGACCTACATGGCTCCTAGTTTAGAGAACTCCGGGGGGGAGTCACAGGGTTATGAGGAAGACATCATTCTGCCCAGGGGATTGGTTGAAGGAGCCAGGGGGGACCAGCCCAGTGAGGGCGTTGCCCCGGGTAGGCCAGGGCCCTAAGGGTGGTGCCTAGCCTAGGGATCAGTCTGGTTCCGTTTGGCCCGGTGCACGGCGCGTGAGCTGGAGGGAGGCGGACGTTAGAGAGAGGCCGATGGGGTGGAGTAGCTGGGAAACCTCCTCCGAGCTGCCCGGCCAGCAGAAGGGGCTTCTTCTGGGGGTGGGGAGTCCCTATACTGGGGGTCTCTGAGGGAGGCTGACGGATGGCTCGGCAGCTCCAGATCCCTTTGGGGTCACAGGTGGAGGGGAGAACGAGTTCTGTGAGTTTTCCCTGTCGTTGAGCAGCTGTCCAGGCCCACAGCAGGCTTCGGGCAGTTCCCTCATTCACCTTCTCGGGCTGCCCTACCCTTCCTCTGCAGGACACAAGACAGCCTGGGCTCAGGGCCAGAGCTCAGGAGCCTTCGGGACCCCCTGAGTCAATGCCCTTCCCTTCCCTCCCTCATTCTCTGAGTGCAGGTGGTCAATGGTGGCCAACCAGGTCACTTACTCAGGAGGGTCCCCTCTCCCAGGGCCAGGGGCAAGTAGGAGCTACAGAGTGTCACCGACCTCAGCTCTGCGGGCTGGAAAGGCCCTCAGGAGCCTCCCTCCCCCACGATACACCTGCCAGCCTTCACCTTAACAGCTCAGCCCACGAGGTCATCGGCCCTAAGGTCGATGACCTGAAGGGCCAATCCCCTCATTTTACAGGTGAGGAAACTGAGGAAGCCCAGAGAGGGCAGATGACCTGTGCTAGGGCAGCATGGAGGCCCCAGGGCCTCTGCTCTGGACTCTGGCCTCTCTCCCCAGCTTCAGGCTTGGGGTCTGGGTGTACCCGGTGGTTGTCCTAGAGAGAAGCATCTCAAACCCAACATGCCCCCCTCTTTTCCAGCTCTAGCCCCCTTCTCCTCCCCTCCCAGCCCTGCTGAGATGAGTACAGCCCTCTGGGTCTCTGCTGTGCAGGCAGGCCACAGCTGGCCTCTTTGGGCCAAAGGCAACAAGGTTTTGGCCGTTGCCCCACCCAGTGCTGATGGGACTCTTTCAGCCCCTGGGCTCCCACCAATTTCCTTCCCAGGAGTCTCCTAGAGAAGAGATAAGTGCTTGGCTGCTGGGGAGGAATGCGGATGAGAATGAGGCCAGGAAATTGTGCCGGCCTCTCTCCCACCCTTCCCCCGCTCCGGCCTCCCTGCTGGCCTCCTGCAGCCCTAGCGCTGCGGCCAGACCCTCTAACCCTAATTCCTTCCTTGCCTTGGGGGTGCACCGCGATAGGGTGTTACAGAAAAGGGGTGGCAGCTTTGGGGGCCCTCCGGGTCACCTCCCATGGGAAACAGGTGTCCATGGGTTTTTTGGCTCAGTCTTCATCTGGTTTTTAATCATCGCCTACTTCTGTGGGGAATGGCCCTTAGCCTGTCCATTCTCTGTGTATCTCAGGTTTCTCACCCATTTGGGGGATTTTTGTGGCAAATGTTTTTCTTCCCAATCATCAGTTTTTCTTCTTACGCTACCTGCATTGAGTTGGTTTGTGCAAGTGTGATCCCCTTCCTCATGGTTTTGGTTGTGAAGCCTCCCTGACCCAAGGCTTCCTCTTCTCATTTTCTGAAGCTGTGACTGGGGATTTGGGGGCTGTGTGACTCCCTCCCAGGTGGTTGGCCTCCTTGTGGCTTTCTGGTCTTGTTTGCAGCAAGACTGCTTTGATTCCATGCCTCTACGGGACCCCCACCTCACCTGGTCACTGGGCCAGGATTTCTCCTTAAGCATCCTGGCAGCTAACAGAAGCTGGGGCTGAAGGCTCAGCTGGTCAGCACAAGAGGTCACTCAGGACCAAAGCCAAAGGCTCCCTGCCCCATCCATCCCCAGCTGCAGGTGCTGGCAGCCTCAGAAAGCCAACTTGGGTTGATGCCAAGATGGCAGCACCTAGAGCCCTTGCAGCCTGGTGTCTCCTGCAGAGCCTTCTAGGGGCAGGATTGCCTCCAGGCCTCAATGGCATTGGAGTGGGGCTTGGTGGAGTCCAGTAATGACTCCGAGTTTTGCTGGTCTTAGAACATCTTCTTTAATACTGCCTTGTGAGGTAGAGTATAGAGGTGTCCCATTGTGTGGAGGAGTAAACTGAGGCTCCAAGGCCCCAGGCCACTTCTGTCTCTGAGGCCAAATGAGCCTCAGTGTCTTGGCTGCTATCCTCGGCGGTATCTCTCCCTCCTCTCCCCTTGTTGGCTCAGATGAAGCACCCGGCAAATCCCTTCTTGCCAGCCTTTGTTAGATGCCTTCAAGGCCATGCTGGTAAATGCTTAACAGTCGGTTCTCCAAACGTCTCCATGGCATTTCTCCATTGCTGACTTGAGCCTCAGTGATCGACAGACAATAAATCAGTCCACGGGTAGTGTTTGCTCCTTTCCAAGTTGAAGACTTAACCCTCTGCTCTCCCAGCACAACCCACAGGGCGCTCCATCCCTGGCCAGCTTCCTGTCACCCAGAGTGGAAGGGGCCCTTTGAAGTCATGCCCCACAAGAGGCCAGCTGGCTTCTGCTGGGAGATCTCCACAGCAGTGCCCCCTCTCAAAGCAGCTCTGAGGGGTCCGGGTCAGAATAGACGTCCGCAGCGTGAGGGGGCAGCCAGAAAAGCTCCCGGGCTCCGTCCCTCTGCCCTCTGCCCTAGCCAGGCACAGGCGAGCCCAGGGCTGTGTTCTGGGCACCCTGTTGGCTGAATGTCGCTGATTCTGCACGCCTTACACCACCCACTCTCTCCTGCCTGGTCCATCGCCACAGGCTATGGCTTGGGGTTCCCTGCCTCCAGTGCTCCAGCACCACTCTGTGACAACCCATACTTCACTCAGCTGCCTCAGGGACGTTCCTAACATGCAGGTCTGACCATTGGTCCACCGGCATTGATGAAGCACCTACTGTGTGCCAGGTACCATGCTCAGTGTGGCCCCTTTGCACCAGGTCACCCCACCCCTGCTCAGGAGGCTCCGGGCATCCCTGTTAATAGATTGGAAGCTTCTTGAAGACAGGGACCACTGCATTTTGGATCACGTCCCTGCACCTGGCATGGGGCCTGGCACACAGTTGGTGCCTAAGAAATGCTGGTGGATTGACTGACTTTAGGCCGAAATTTGCAGGCCTTTGTGCTCAGCCTTTCCAGCGCTGCCCAGAGTGGCTCGGGGATGACCCATCATCACCTGCCCCAAGCACGCTCTTCACGGGTGCCTGCACACGAGCCTCCTTTTCCCACCTCCATGCCATTGCACACGCTGTACTCCCTGCCTGCAGTGCTGTTCTTCATCCCCTGGCCTCTGGCTCGCTGAGCTCAGCTCTGCCTGCTCTGATTTCCTGATCTGCCACCCCTACTCAGCCAGGGTGGGGGCCGGGGGGGGGTGAGGGCTACCTCACTTTGGTCTTTGTGAGCCCAGTACCCAGAACAGAGGCTGGCACATAACTGGCACTTGGTACACCCTTGTGGGCGTGAATGTCCTGTGGTTCTGTGACCCTGGCCCAGGGTCCTGAAGGTCAGGAACAGTGCGCCGGCTTCCTCCAAGGGCCTGGCTTCCCAGCAGAAGCCTCCGCTTTGGCACTATCGGGCCTAAAGTTAGAGGCTCCCCGTGAGACCCGGGGTCTCAGAGGTGACCCCAGCCTGCTGGCACAGGGAGGCTTCCCTGGTTGGTAGGCTGGGGGGGTGGGGCTGCCGGGGTGTGGTCACTGGGCCTGAGAGGCTCCAACAGGCCAGGCTGTGGGGTGGGGCAGAGCTCAGGCTAAAGTCCAGGGAGCTCCAGCAGGCAGCCAGCCCAGCAGGGAGACGGCCGCTGTCTGGCGGCCATGGCTAGCCCTGAGTTTTTATCACTGGAGCAGAGCCTCGAGGAGAATCTGCCCCCGGCTGACCTCAGCAATGTCCGGCGAATCCTGTTTGGGAGAGAGACCAGGTGTGTGAAGAGGAGTGAGTGTGCACGTATGACTATGTGTGTGAATGCATGTGAGTGAGAGGCTATGTGGACGTGAGTGCGTGAATGTGTGAGTGTGAGGTTGTGTGAATGTGAGAAGGCATGTATGTGTGAATGGGTATGTGAGTGTATGTGAACGTGTGCACAAGTGTGTGCATGTGTGTGAGTGTGTGCGCAGGCGCCTTACAGTGAAGACTGGCTAGGCCCGAGGAAGGCACTGAGACAGTGTGAGAGAGGGGACACACCCCTAGGCAGCAGAGCCAGGATCTGAACTCAGGGCCTTGGACTTTCCCTCCCACTGCCCTGCACAGCCATCTCACAGATGTGACCTGGCGTGTGTGGGTGGGGGGGGGGCCCAGAGTCTGTGCTCTGGGGCACATGAGTACACACACACACACACACACACACACACGGGACCTCACAGCTCCTTTCCAGTGCCTGCCGGACACCTGGGTCTGGAAGCTTTCTCCAAAGCAGGATTTGGGCTCAGCAGCCTTGCCTCCAGGCCCAGCCCTCAGCCACTGCCCTGCTCTGTCAGGCCCCTGACATCAATAATGACCCAACAGCAAACAGGCCCCAAATCTCCTCTGAGCGTCTGCAAAGCGGATGTCTTGGAGGGGATGCCCATGGAGGCCCTGCCAGCTGTGCCCCTGGCACCCCCGTGGTACCCCCCGGCTGGGGGCCCTGGGCTCTGTCTGGGACCTCTGTGTCCTCTCCTCTGTTCTCCCTCTGAGGCCCTGCCAGCTGTGCTCCTGGCACCCCCATGGTACCCCCCGGCTAGGGGCCCTGGGCTCTGTTTAGGGCCTCAGTCCACCCTCTGGCTTCTCCTCCACAGCGGGCTCTGCCCTCTATAACCAAGCCGATACATTAAGATCTTTCCTGCCCCAGCAGCCCCTGATTCTTTCTTCTCTTCTCCAGGATGGCGCCCCATCCCCTCCCGCCCCCTGTCCCTGACCTGGGACCCCTCTGTCGCTGCTTTCTGCTCCTTCCCTAGCCTGCCTGCCCCGCTGGAGCCCCTCTGCAGCTTATCTGTGGCATTCCCAAATGGAGGGGCCCAGGGCTGAGAACAGGGCTCTGGACAGGCCTGCCCTGGTGGGGCGGCGGTGAGAAGGGCTGGACAGCAGGCTGCCTCCCACAGGAGCAGGCCTGGGCCGGGCACCAGATCAGCAGGACCGGAAGGATTGGCTGCCGGTGCCTGAGGGAACCAGGGTGTACTTCAGGCAGTAGTCCTGCTTCCAAGCCTTTAGGCCCAGGACCATAGACAGGCCCACCAAGCCAGGCTTTCACAGCAGAGGAAATGGAGGCCCAGCCTCCAGGCCTGGTGCTCTATCCACTGGGCCACCTGGCTCCTCAGTACCCAGCATCTCAAGCCGTGCTGGGAGGGAGCTACAATGGGGTGTGGTGATGGGAGGAGGCAGCGCCTGCGGGGGGGGGGGGTTACCCCCAAGCCTTTCATGCTGGCCAGACCCCCAGGCCAGGAAGCTTTCTGGTCCATTTGAGTGCTGTGGAGTTACCCAGCAGCCCCTGATCCAGCCTCCCTGCTTTTGTATCTCTTGTCCTTGTTCCACGTGGAAATGGGGCGCAGCTGGCCACCCGGTGCGGCACGTGCCCATCGGAACAGGGGCAACAGCAGACGGGTAGACTGAGGCCAGGGGGAAGGCCCTCCCTTCCATGCGCTTCCTCTGCCCCTCAGGAAGCTCGACCTGCCCCCCAGTGCCCTGGTGGCTGCCTCTCAGCGGGACTTTGAGCTGCTGGCCTTTGCCTTCGAGGCCTCCAAGGAGCAGCTGAGACCAGCCAGGCCGGTCCGCGTGGGGCTGGTACAGAACCGGATCCGACTTCCTCCAGATGCTCCAGTGTCTGAGCAGGTAGGCAGCCCGGCAGGCTGCTGTTTACCAGACTCCCTGGGGCCCGGGGCGGGGCTGTCCCGCAGCCTGGGCCAGCCGAGGAGGCACCTGACAGAGCAGCCCAGAGCACAGCAGCTGGGAGGGCGGGGTAGGGCACCCTCTGCCTGTTAGCACAGCTGGAGGCAATGTCATGGGTGGTGGCTGCCTCTCCCCAGGAGGGCTGGGCCAGTGCACGGGCCACAGTTAGGTCCAAACAACCAAGCACTGACTTGTAGTGGGCCAATTTCCAACGTGTAAACACTCCCCTGCACCTGTCTACACTAGGGGCTACCCTCCCCACCAGCCACTCCTTGGGCCTGGTGTCTACACTCAGATCATCTTTCCCATGTCTGGTGTCTACACCTGGGGCTTTCTTGCCCATAGGCCCAATTTCCAGATCCCTCTTCTAGAGTCGGCTCTTTCCAGACTTGCCAGATATGGGCTCCCCGGTCTTGTAGTTGGGGTGTGTGGGCTCAGTCTCTTGAGCATCTCTAGGGTCAGTCAGAACCTTGAATTATCAGCCCTTCCTCCCCCAGGCCCTGAGCTAGGATTCACCAATGGCTGACAGGGTAGAGGCAGCTGGGTAGTGCAGTGGTTACTCTAGCTGTGTGACCCTGAGCAAGTCCCTCCAGCTCTCTGTGCCTTGGTTTCCTCATCTGTAAAATGGTCCCTCTCTCCCAGGGCAGTTGTGATGATCCAAGCACATCACCGAGGAGTGTTTTGGGGACTTCTGTGCGGCTAATGGGGTCACAGACTTAGAGAGGGAAGGGACCCCAGAAACCATAGCTCAGCATTTCCACCCCCAAAAAACGGTGGGGGAGAGGAGGCCGAGGTAGCTTCTGAGGCTGGCCCAGAGTCACCCACACAAGGCAAGCGGAGGGCACCGAAGCCAGGTCTCCGACTCCATAGCCTGGGCTGTTTCCTGGACTACTGCGAGGTGTCCAGAGTGCTTGGCCCCTTTGCCCCCATCTGAACCTCCCAATGATCCAGGACACAGACAGCAACGGCAGTGAGGATCCCAGGGGGGCCGGAAGCCCCGGCCCCTCACTGCCGGAGCCATGCCCTTGGCCATATCACCCGTTGGATGAGCCTGTGTGAGGCGAGAGGGCTCGGGTTGAGCCCTGCTGGCCAGGCGGCAGGAGAGGATGACAGCCACAGCAGGAATCTGGCAGGTGGGGAGGGTGTGCGAGGACTCGGGCGCAGAGCAGGGGATGAGCGCCTCAAGAGTCCATCTCCAATGTGCTGTCCAGGGCACAGGGACGGCAGGGAGCCCGGCGGGCTCACAGGAAGGCCAGGCTGGGAAGGAAGAATTGGGTTATCCCGTGGGCAATGGGAGGCTTTGGAGCAGAGAAGAGACCTTCTCAGGCCAGGTCCCCAAGCTGCTCGGCTCTTTGGATCCCGGCTGAGGCTTGGAGCTGCTGGGTGGGGGAGGGGGGAGCTCCCCAGATCCAGAGCTTAGAGACTTCCATAGATGTGAATGCCTGCCCCCAGGTGGGCGCCCTGCACGGACGCATTGTGGAGATCCTGGAGGTGGCTGCCCAGTGCGGGGTGAACATTGTCTGCTTCCAGGAGGCATGGAGTAAGTAGCATCTATTATCTCCCTGGCTCAGGTGCCAGCCCCGTTTCTGCCCCTAACCCCACCCCCACAGTCCTTAGCATTCAAAGCCCAAGGGGCAGAGCAAGAATTCCTGGGCTCCAGGTTTGCAGGGAGGGAGGCAGTGCAGGCAAGAGCGCACTATTTCCCCATGTGAAAAAACTGAGGTTCAGAGTGGTCCTCCAGCCAGTGGGGCTCAGCCCCATCCTCTACTGCCTCCGGGGCTGGCCCTGTGCTCTTTCCCTCCCAGCTCTCTGTCTTTGCGGGTTCATACTGCTCCCCTGCAGATAGTGTCCTCATGCTGGGGCCAGGGCATTCTCTGCAAGGGTGGCCTGGGCACTCCCAGCGGAAGAAGCCCGCCCTTAACTCCTGGGGCCAGTAGGGAGCAGGTACTGAGCAAACGGGACAATGGCCCTACCACTCACAGAGGCCGCTGGAGGGCGCCAGAGTGCTCGGGGAGAGGGTGCTGGAGTCAGTCCCTTGAGGGGCCACAAGGGGGCGCTGCAGCGCACAGAGCGCTGGGCCTGGAGTCAGGAAGGGCTAGTTCCTCGTGAGGCCGCTAGAGGGCGCCGCAGTGCATGAAGCACCAGGCACGGGGTCAGGAAGGGCTAAGTCCTTGTGAGGCCACTAGGGGGACTGGAGTCAGGAAGGCCTGAATTTAAATGTAACCGCAGACACTTAGGTGTGTGACCTAGGGCAAGTCACCTCCCCTCTGCCTGCCTCAGTTTCCTGAGCTGTAACATGGGGATCATACTAGCGCCTCCCTTCCTGGGTTGCTGTGTTAGGAGGCGCCATGCTGCTGGCACCTGGGTCCTGTCAGGGAGACGGCCCCCTCGGACAGCTTCCCTCACCAGGGGCCACTGAGGCCGGCATGCAGACAGGGGGTGGGGCAGGAGAAGTCTGGCACCCTCTCTGGGTGAAGGTGCCAATGGTCCTCAGGCCCCAGCCCACCCACCTGGGTCTGCCTTGGCCAAACAGGGGTTGGACAAACCAGCCCGGCTTGTTTACATTAGCTGGATTGGTGAGGGGATGGGGAAGAATGCTGCACTCGGAGACAGGGGCCCTGGGTTCGAATCCTACCAAGAGGCAAAACCTCCTTCATAAACCGAGGACAACACCACGGCCCTACCGCCAGGGTCACAGGCTCCCGGGAACCGCCCGGTGGGCTGGGAACACTGCCCCCCAGGCAGCCCGGCCACCTGGCCCTGATGCCCCCCTTCTCTTTCTAGCCATGCCCTTTGCTTTCTGCACGAGAGAGAAGCTGCCCTGGACAGAGTTTGCTGAGTCTGCAGAGGACGGCCCCACTACCAGGCTCTGCCAAAAGGTGGGACACGGGCCTCCTGCCAGGCGCTCAGAATGACCCTGGGGCGACTCTGGGCCCCCCAGCACAGCAGGGGGTGGGACCGATGGCCAGGTGCCTGCCTCCCCTGAGGGAGGTGGGACAGCACCCCTCTCCTCCCCCCCACCCCCGTGGAGGGCACACGCACACCAAGAGTGGGGGCCACAAGGGCCAGCCAGGGTCTAGCTGGGGGTCGGAGGGCTCAGGGTCTGGCCGAGTCGCCCGGGGCCGCAGGGCCGCTTGAGCAGCCAGGAGCAGAGGACTTGGGAAGGCAAGGGAAGGCTGGACGAAGCCTCCTTGGAGGCCAGGCCTCCCAGACTCCAGGCACTGCAGCGCCCCCTCGTGGCCCTCTTAGCTCGCGCTCCATCTCGCTTTGGCAGCTGGCTAAGACCCACAACATGGTGGTAGTGTCACCCATCCTGGAGCGCGACGAGGCTCACGGGGACGTCCTATGGAACACCGCGGTGGTCATTTCCAACTCCGGGGCCGTGCTGGGCAAGACCCGGAAGAACCACATCCCCCGGGTGGGCGACTTCAATGAGGTGAGCTGCTTCCGGGGGAGGGCCCCCCTCGTGTCCCCGTAGACCACGGGAGCAGGCCCTTAATGGGACCTCGGCCGTCCTTTCCCTCCCCTGGGCCTCAGTTTCCTCATCCGTTGAATGGTCACAGAGGGAACTGGCTTCTGGGCAGTGTCCATGCTGTGGCAGGAGAGGGCGGCTGATCCTGGGCATAGTGGCCACCTCTAGGCCATTCCTTGGATCCTTTTGGGGCTCCTTGTGCCTGGGCTTAGAACTCGCCCACGCTCCGCCATCACACTGGGATGCCCTACCCCCAGCCTCGTCCTGTCCCCTCACACGTCGCCCCTCCAGCTCCTTCCATAAGGGACCTCCTGCTCTTCCTGTAGAAAAGAGGGAGGGGTGTGGGCCAGAGGATAACATGACCAGAGACATTCACAACTGGTCAGACCCACAGGTGACCTCATGGTGGCCAAAGCATTCGCTGGCCTGGGAATCAGAAAGACCTGAGTTCAAATCCAGCCTCACATACTTCCTAACTTGGTGTCCCTGGGCAAATCACTTCCCTGCTGCCTGCCTTAGTTTCCTCATCTGTAAAATGGGGATCGTAATAGCACCTCCCTCCCAGGGCTATTGTGAGGATCAGATGAGGTCATGTTTGCAAAGTGCTTGGTGAAACCTTCAAACCCCATGTAAACGATAGCTCTTCAAGGCCATTGAGGCAGGAAGTCTGTAGTGGAGTGCCACAGGGCCTGGACCTGGGCCCTGGGCTGCTTAACACTTGGGCATCAGGCTGGGAGGGAGACAGAATCTTCTGCATGGCCAAGTCAGACTCCAAAGAGACCTCAACAGGCTTGGCATGGGGCTGAACTGCACAGGAAACCTTGTGCCTTTCCATCCTGAATGCCTTCTGCACACGATGAGGAAAGCCTCAGTGGGGCCTGGTTTTGGCCAGCCCCGAACGATGTCACAGAGCCCAGAGCTGCTTCTATGAGCAGACAGGAAGTGCCATCCCTCATTGACAACGTGGGAGTCATCTGCGAGGCGAGTGTCTGCACACATGGGCACCGACCCCCGGTTGCTCCGCGGACTTGTCACAGCAAGACTTGGGAGGAGAACAAGGCCAGGGGAATTACGGGGAGGGGAGAGAGGACGTGCTAGAAAACAGCCTGTTCCTCATGATCCAGCTGGGCGCGTTACCACCGACCGTGGCAAATGGCCGAACGGATAAAGGCTCCACACGCAGACGGTGCTAATTTCATCTCCACCATGAGCCAGTGGGCATGAATGGCACACCCAGGAGACCCCCCCCAGGCTCCCCCAAACCCCAGGCAGCCAGCGGATAGTGCTGGGCAGCAGCAGCTCGTCTGTAAGATGTTTGAGAAGGGAGGAGGGCGGTGGGAGGGAAGAAGGAAGCCTCACAGAGCAGAGCAGCCGGGGCATGTAAGGATCAAGACAGAGGAGGACAAACTGAAGAGATGGAAAAGATCTGCGAAGATCGGCGTAACAAACTGTCAAGGCCAGGGAACTGCTCCACCATCAGTCCCAGATGCGCTTACTGAGGAAGCAGCGATGGCTAGCGTGCTCAGCACACAGTAGGTGCTTCCCAGGGGCTTGGCGACCAGAGAGAATGACGGCAGAGTACAAGGAGCGGGATCAGACCTGGGGGAGCACAGCGGGAGGAGGCTGGGGGATCGGCGTCCCTGCTATGCTGTCTGAAGTAGGGAAAAGCTCCCGCGGTGCAGAAAGAACCAAGGAGGGAGGGAGCGCAGGCCACTGATCCTCACCACGCTCCTGGCCCTGTTCCCCAGAGACCACCCCAAGGGCCTGGAAGCTCCCTCTGCCTCTTCCCCATGGATTTTAAAGAGGTATTTGTATTGGACAAAAGCCCCTTTATGGGAGTTTGGACCACCAGGCGTCTCCCACCTAGCCGCCCCCCATGGTGAAGATCATTCTGGATTCCTGGGAAGCTGTAACAACAGAGATGCCCCTCAGGTCACAAACATCCTAGAAGCTGCTGCGCAGGGTGCTTGCTGAAGGCGGGGTGGACGAGGTCTGACACAGGAGTGGGGCTTGCTTCTCTCCCTGTGACCGGGGAGGTCCTCCGGCTGCCCCCCGGGGGGGACGGAGTGCCGGTGGCATCGAGCCTCCTGGGAGAGGTCTGTGGTCATCACTCCAAGGAGTCTTATCTGACCATTCACACCGGAAAGACCAAGCGGATGAAGAAGGCCTATTGCCCAGGCTGGGGTTAGTTATCAGCATAAGTGGGTGCGCATGGGTGTATTGACGTGCATGGCAGCACCCCTCAACGCTGAGCTGGGCCTGAAATGGGCAGGAGGAGGCGTGTGGGCTACGTGGGCTTTGGAAAAGCTCCTCCCTGAAGCAAAGGCCCTGCAGAGGATACCCCCAGAGTCCCAGAGGGTCTGGGAACCAGTGTCCCCCCCAGCTGGCCCTCCCTCCCTCCTGGGGGGACGCAAGTGGGGCAGCTGCCAGGCAGGGCTGAGCGCAGCAGGAACTCTGCATGTGGTTGGGCAGCCGCGGGCTGGGTGAGGTGCTCTGCCCAGCGCACGGGGCAGTGCACTGGTGGGCTGCGGGCCTGCACAGTGCTACTCCCAGCAGCAGTGTGGGCTGGAATTCAGAGTCAGAAGGCTGGGAGCTCCAGAAGAGAGCATTGAGGGTAGCCCAGGGGCAGGGGGGAGGGGGCAGATGAGAAAAAGGGGGCCGAGCAGCAAGGGACCCGCCCAGTGTGAGGAGATGGGGTGAGGACTCGAATGAGGACCAGGCCCCAGGGCGGTGCTAGGTGTGCATGCCCTGGGAGGAGGAACCGTAACGGTGCCACAGGACTCTGCCCGGCCTATTCCCTGATCTGGGGCTGTGCCAGGGGACAAGAGGGAAGGGTCCTTAGGACTGGAGAGGGCGGCCAAGATGACAGATCAGCCCAAGGGGCAGAGGCCCAGGAATCTGCGGTGAGGGCCCCAAAGTGGAGCTGCCCTCCCCACCTGGTCCCCCAACCCAACCCCGCCCCCCCCCGGCCCCCCCGCCCCCCCCCCCCCCGCCCGGCCCCCCGAGGTCTCGGCTGCCCCCCCCAGCCCAGCCCGGCCCCCCGAGGTCTCTGCTGCCCTCCTCACCTGGTCCCCACAGCCCAGCCTGGCCTGGCCCCCTCTGGTGTCTCCTTCCTCAGGTCTCCAGCTGAGGGGAGAACAGGGGAAGGAATCTTTTCACCAGACCAACTCTGGGACATTGAACAAATTATGCTCCCTCTTTGTCCTCTGACACATCTAAGGTTAGCCCAGTGCCTGGCACAGAATAGGCTCTTGCTAAGTCTTACTGACTGACTGGCTGACCCATTCCAAAGCCCTCTCCACGGACACCAGGGTTAACGTTGAGAACCGAGGGCTCACGTCGACATCGGCCAGAGCGCAGACTAGGTGTAGTATGTGCTTAGCCTTAGCCTCGTTTCCCAGGACCTCACAAGGAGTTCAGGGTTCCAGAGATGACAGCCCCTTCCCTGGGGCTGCCCTGACGCTGTGTTTTACCCATGGACACTGGACCGCCTCCAACAGGGAGGCCCCAGCCTGCCCCAGAGAGGCCCCTACTCATCAATGGGCACCTGCCCCTGTTCTAGCCTTGGCCCCTCTCCTAGCCTGCTCCCAGCAGCGGTGGCCTGGGGGAGCTCAGGCTCTGACCAGCCCCTTCCACCAGGCTGGGAGGGTGACCAACCGACATCGCAAAAGGCAAGTCCCTGAGGAAGCTGGCTGGCAGGCAGGCCCTGAGGGTGGGGCGCGCTGGGGAGGAGGGCTCTCGGTCTGCATCTGTGGAGGAAGGAGAGACACACCCACGTGGGGAAACGGGGATAGCCTAGAAACCGATCAGTCAGTCAAGCATTTATCATAGGCCCACATCTGCTGGTAGGCGCTGCCATTGTACTGGAGGAAACATTGTGTCGCCCCAATACACAGAGATATAAAATATTTCAATGCTGGTAATGGGTTGGTGCGCCGGGAGGGAGAACACAGTGGAGGGAATCAGGAGAAGTCTGGAAAAGGAGGCGGGTGTATGAACCAACGGCAAAGAGAACTGGGGTGGTCAGTGGTCAGAGCAGAAGAGGCAGAGCGGTCCAGGCCAGGGGCACAGAATGCCCGGAGCTGGGAGATGGAGGGGCTGTTGGTGGGATGGCAGGAAAGGAGGCTGCCAGGAGGCGAGGCTGGGGGGGAGGCCTCTGGAAGGGGAGGCTGGGAGGGGAGACTGGGAGGGGAGGCTGGGGCAGCTGGAGGGGAGTCCATGGGGTGGGGGTGGGGATAAGAAGACTGGGGTAGGGGAGGGGGCTGGGTTATGAAGGCTTTGAATGCCAGGAGGTGAGAGGGAGTCACTAGAATTTATTGGTAGGGGAGTGACCTGGTCAGACCTGGGCTTAGGGAGATCACCTTGGTGTCTGAATGGACGATGGATTGGAGAGGGGAGAGACCAAGGCAGGCAGACCCCTCCCCCAGAAGCTATTGCCTTAGTCCAGGGGTAGTGATAGGAGTAGTGGGGGGGGCAGGGTCAGAGAAGAGAAAGGGGAGTATTGGAGAGATGCTGCAGAGGCTCCATCGACAGGCCTGGGCACCGTATCGGGTCCAGCGGATGAGGGATGGATGGCCCTCAGGTTGGAAGCCTGCAGCCAGGGAGGATGGGGCTGCCCTTGATGGTGATAGGGAAGGTGGGAGGGGGAGAGGGGATAAGTTCTGTTTTGGACACACTGGGTGTAAGACGTCCGCTGGGCGTCCAGTTGAGGCTGTCTGAGGCACCTGGAGATGTGAGGTGGAGGTCAGCAGAGAGGTCGGGGCAGGACAGGCAGATCTGAGAGTCACGAGCACAGAGAAGGTCACTCAATCCATGGGAGCTGATGAGATGACCCAGGGCACTGGGACAGAGGGAGAAGGGCAGAGTGCCCAGGTCAGAGAGGATAGGAAGAGTGAGGCCTGACCAGCCAATCAGAGGTCAGTGCTGCCTCTGCAGGGCAGGTCCACTTGAGTGATAAGATCAGAATCCAGATTGTAGAAGGCTGAGAAGTGAGTGGAGGAAGTGAGTATAGACAGAGAGTCTAAGGGAAGAGAGATACTGAGTGCTAACTCGTGCAGATTCTCGAACCAGATGAGGTCTTTTTTTAAGGGTTGGGAGATGCCGGCTGTGGTGGAGGCAGCCAGGACACCGGGAGAGGGTGAAGGTTAAGGAGAAGGGGAGGGGGTGATTGCAGCCGCCAACAGCTGGAGGAGGTAACGCCAATGACACCGAGGAGAAGCAGACCTGGGGAGCCATGGCAGCAGGCATTTCCTGGGGGAGACGCTAGCTGAGAGGGAGGTGAGGGGAGAGAAGAGAAGGTTGTGGGCAGCTGCCCTTACTGAGAGCACTCCCTTTTCCTCAGGCCACGTACTATATGGAAAGTACTTTGGGTCATCCCGTGTTCCAGACATCCTTTGGGAGGATTGCTGTGAACATTTGCTATGGCCGCCATCACCCCCTCAACTGGCTCATGTACAGCCTGAATGGGGCTGAAATCATCTTCAATCCCTCGGCCACCATTGGGGAGCTCAGGTAGGGAGGGGCCTGGGGCAGTGCTGGAGCTCTGGCCTCAGTGACCCGTAGAGGCAGAAGAGGGTGGCAAGAAGGCTGGGCTGTCTGTGAAGGGGGCCTGTGGGGAGGGGCTCTGCCTATAGCTTCCCTTAGAAAAAAGATGGATGCATGCATAGACAGATGGGTCACACATGGAGAGGTGGATGGGTCACATAAAGACGTGGATGGGTCACATGGAGAGGTGGATGGGTCATACAAGGTTAGATGGATGGGTCACACATGGAGATGTGGATGGGTCACACATGGAGATGTGAATACATCACACATGGAGACATGGATAGGTCACATGGAGAGGTGAATGGGTTACACAGAGACATGGATCGGTCCCACAGGGAGATGTAGATGGGTCAAACACAGAGAGGTGGATGGGTCACGCAGAGAGGTGGATGGGTCACACAGAAACGTGGATGGGTACACATGGAGACATGGATGGGTCACACAAAGAGGTGCATGGGTCACACAGGGAGCCATGGATGGGTCACACACAGAGAGGTG